TAGCTCATCCCATAAATGTTCTATAGTGTTTAAGTCTAGACTGCATGCTGGCCATTCCATAACCCGAAAACCGGTGTCTGTGCTCTCGCATTGTCATTCATAAAAATCAATTCGCTTCCAATGTTGTCGACGTAAGGTACCACATGAACTGCTAAAATCTCCTCAGTATACCTAGTACCAGTTAAACCTCCTCTCCCGTGCCGACGGTCGTCCCAACGGATAAAAACTGGGTCGGTTCGCGCAGTCATAGAAATTGTACCCCAGATCATGCAGAAACCACCTCCATAAGCAATCCGCTCCTCGATGCAGCATTCTGCGAATCGCTCACCTGGCCTCTGGAACACTTTTCTTCTTCGGTCGCTACCATAGAGGCATATCCTGGTCTCATCTGAGAATAAAACACGTTACCATTTTTCTATTGGCCAATTCAGATGTTCCGTGCAAAAGGCAGGCGTGTTTGACGATGAGCTGGGGTAAGTTTGGTCATTCCTCGTGTTTCACAGAGCTGTTGTTGCACCTGAATAGCATTAAGATGCCGATTTCTTAATATTGTTGACACAATAAAGCGGTCACGATGCGTTGAATATCTCTTTCCACCAGTTCCAGGTCGCCTACGAAAGGATCGAGTCTCCTCATATCGTTCACACACTCTTCGAACCGCTCCGCGTGTCATATGCAGTTGCCGAGCTACAGCTCTCTGTTTAAGTCCATTTTCAATTAAAGCGATTACTTTGGAAGTTTTTTTCCGTGATGTATGCATTAAATTGAAACACTAATCAAAGAATGAAACACAACAAATTAAACAATTAAAGAACAATGTGCAAATTTAACCTGTACTGGCTATGTTTTTATGATAACTGGCCAGAATTCATTCAAATAACTCTGTTTAGTATTAAACGACATTAATGGAGCGTAGACATCTTAACAGAGACGAAGTGCACGCTATCGTGAAAGTAGTGATGTTGCTGAAAGGCACACAGGGCGACATCGCATTACTACCCCTCAGCAAGATCATTTTTTACAATTAAATGCTCGACGCCGACCGACTCTTACAGCGCCAGAGCTTAGTTTAATTCTCCAGGAAACACATAATGTAACCGTTAGTCCTGACACTGTTCGCAATAGATTAAAAGAGGTCAACTTTAGAAGCAAACGCACCTGGAGAGCTCAACCCTTAACGAGAGGAAATCGAGAGGTACGATATTTGTGGGCTCAAGATCATATTCAGTGGTAGAATGAACAATGGGCCAATGTTCTCTTCACGGATGAGTGACGCTTTGGAATTCATCCGGATTCGAGAAGGCTTATGGTATGGAGAGAACCGGGAAATCTTATTCGGTTGGATCATGTTCAGGAAGTGCACCCTCATCAAGGTGGAACAGTTATGGTCTGACGAGGAGTCCAGTTAGGCCGAAAAACCGATCTCGTTTTTCTTGAAAGGTTTCTAAAAGGAATCACATATCGTGATTTAGTTGTTGAGCCTGTCGTGTTACCATATGCCAATGATTTTGGGAGAAACTTCATTCTCATGCATGACAATGCACGGCCTCATACAGCCAGAGTGGTAAGTGAGTTTATCAATGCTCATCAATTAAACATCTTACCCTGGCCGGCACAATCTTCTGACCTCAACCCCATCGAGCACGTATGGGACGCGGTCCAAAGAAATATTTTGAGAATGGGTATGCCTCGTGAAACTCGTAGGGAACACGGCACGGTGCATTCACGGCCCGAACCAGGGCCGTGAATGCAGCGTGGCAGGCTGTACCTCAAGAAGAGATCGACAACCTGATCAGGAGCATGGAGAGATGATGTAGGGCTGTAATAAACAGTAGAGGAGGCTATACCCTTTATTAAGTAAAAATGGTTTTATTTTTTTTTATTCACAGTTTAGAATAAAAAAAAATGTGTGTATTTTTATGAGTTCAATGTAAATTTGAAAAATTCGGTAAATTTCGCATTTTTATTTCCAATACGTCCTGTAAACTATTTGTTTATTTTAATTTTATTATATCAGAAATGCAAATAATAAAATTACTGACGATGGCGGGATAAAATTGTAATATCCCTAGACTTTTCCGGTGTGTGTATTTCCGTATTGTAACAGAATTTTAAACTATGTCTTTATTTTCGAGAAAATTTAGTCCAAACATAAGGAATATTTTGTTGAAGTTTGACCATCAAAATCTTAAAAATAAAGAAGTTGAATAAAAATGGACTACAATACGGATATAGTATAATCCTTTATCTTTAATTTCCTTCTTCATTTGTGGTAAAAATACCTAGACACTATTACATAAAACGTTAAATGCCAAACGCTTATTTTGCTACTTTTTTCGGACTAGTGAAATGAACTCTTAAGTAGTTTTCTGCAAACGAGAAAGAAAAAAGAATAAAATAACTTGACGATAAAAAAAAACTCGTTTAGAAGGTCTAAAATTGAAAAATGTGCTTTAATGAAATTAAATTGAAAATCCTTATTAATTGTGGCCACTGTAAAATCTAATTACCTCCATCCATAACTGCAGAAACTGCTGTAAAATAGAGAAAATCAAACAGCGAAATCCTCAACACAGAAACTGGTCCATTCAGTTTTAAAACTTCGTTTTCAATGAATGGCGAATAAATTTCAGACATTCGGCTTAATTTATTCAGACATATTCAAATTAATCAAGTATTTTACGTGCTTGACGAGAAAATAACTTTGAAATGCCGGTTCGGCATGAAAAGTTTTGCAATAGTTTGAAATACTCGGATGCAGAATATTTAAAAATATCGGTTATGTGAAACTTTTTGCAGGTAAATACTTCTTAGAGTTTTTTTGGGGTGGAACTTGCTAAAAGTTATTATTTTTTTCCATAGCAACTGTTACAATTGCCTTATATCTATCAAAAATAGTAGATAGAATAGTACTTTAACCGCAAGGGTAGATTAAATGATACTTCAACAGCGAGGATAAGTTAAACACTTTATTTCTTCTCGTTTTTTAATTGTTTCCATTTTTGAAAATTTTTGTATTCCTTTTCATCAGTTTTTCGGGATTTAAATGGAAGTAGTTTGGATATGACGTTTGTCGCCTCAGCCTGAATATCTGTTGGTAATTTTTCTTATTTCGTTTTGAGCCATTTCTGGCTCCAATTCAATCAGCAATCGACACGAAAGAGAATTAAAAAATATTGACTCAAAACTGACAACTAAAGAGACAGCTTTATTTATTTGTTAAATTACATAGAAACCAACGCCAACCCAGCACAATATTTTTTCTACTCGTAATAAATTCCTTGAAATAATAATTTCTGAATATTTCTAAAAACGTATATTGTTTTATACACGACAATAAAATTACATTATCGTAAATAATTAAATAAATAAACCGATAAGACGATAAAATACCATTTTATCGTCTTGTATAAAAAATAGCTATTATTTTATGTTGAACTGTAAAATAAAGTGTTGTGTTGATAAAAAAGTTATATGTAATTGATTAATACTCATTATTATTGCTTTACTATTTCTGTTTTATAATACTTCATACATTTTGAACTCTACATGCAGTTCGAAAAACATTTTGTGTGTAATGTTCTTCTGTAAGTTTTTTTTTATAATCGGTTTGCACTGATGACTAACATCACAAATTAATCACACATCACCCATCTTTAAGGTCGCAGTGATTAACACCCCCCCTCTTACTCTTACAACATCACAAATAGAGGGTGTCCCATTTAAGTTGAAATCATACGGTATCTTCGTTATCAGTGAAGATAGAAGGATGCAGTTCTCACAAAGCAGTCTATTTTTTTTGTCAAATGAAAAATGCTGTTAAAAAAATTTTTATAGCCCTCTTGGTTTCTGAGCTACAGGGTCTTTTTTGTAATTTTCCAATTTGCAGATGTATCTCTGTTATTGCGAAAGGTATCGACAAGATAAACATGTTTGTTCAAGAACTTTATACGTAGAATACAGTGGCGTAGTCTGTTTTTTCTACAAAAAAAATAGTTTTAAAGATATGAACTAAAGTTATGTTTTCTTAAATAGAACTGTATATTTATAAATCATATGAGCTTCTCAAAAATATATAACACTCTATATTTATTTTCACTATTTACTGGAATATTTAAAAGAAACAAAAGAATTATTAAAAGTATGCTATGTGTACTTGTTTTATTTTGGGAGCCACTATTATATTATTTATACGGGGTGAGTCATAAATAAGTGCAAATATTTTTAGGGCCGGTAGATCTCTATAAAAGAAACATATTTTCTCTTTGCCGTTTTTCAAATAAATTCAAAATAGCCGAGTTAATTTACTTTGAAAATTTCCCGAAAAAAAAATGTTTGCTAAATTTTTGGGAACCACTGGATTTATTCTGGATTTTTCTTGTAAATTTAATCTACTACCTATGTTGCCATATTATCAAGAAATAATGTTTTTTAACTAAAAAATTCTAAATTAAAAAAAGATTGTCGCAAAAGATTCCTTATAATCGTGATTCTGGGGTCAAAATATACTCCCCCTAAAAATATTTGCATTTATTTAAGACTCACCCTGTATATCGGAAAAACTTAACACCCTACCGCTATTTGTCAAAGAATAAAAATGAAATTATACTACCATAAAAACGCATTTTCCATTTCCTAAAACGGTATGGAAATTTGAAAGAGTGTAAACAAGATTAACCATTTTAAAAGAAGCAAAATTTTTCCTAGAATGCATTTTTCTCAAAATGTCAATAAAAAAAGGTTTTCCTCATATAAAGATAATCCGGGGACATACTGTGTAATATAACATATTATATAATAAATATATAATAGGTATATTAAAAAGATAAAATCAATATATTATTTTTTCATAATATTAGTGTACGTGATACACATATATTTATTTGTATTGAACTGATGAATATTAATAACAGGTAATGAATTAGGGTATACTCTTACAAAAAAATGAATCATCTTATTGTTATACCAGATGTATTTCAAGTATTTCTATATATACTTACACAGTTGGTGTATCTGAAACTCCCGGCTGTACCCATCTACTCAAAATTTTATTCCTGAACAACTGCCCAAACGTTATCCTGAACATCCTGTTCATACAGCAGTACAGTAGAAAATTAATTGACCCACTCATCAAAGCCATAATATCCATGATTTCACCGTAGTGCTGGTAACAATTCATGAACAACCCTTTGCCCTTCAGCCCTATGACCAGGGCAAACAATCCTTGTGGCATCTCAACTAACGAGAAAAGAACTAGGATTGCCACGAGCATTTTTGTTGTTCTATCAGCCCGTCTTTCATACTTAGTCGATTTCTTTCCATGATCTCTTTGAGGCGTTATTAGGAAATTGTTATCTTGGCTTTTCAGGACTTGCCTGCCTTTTTTGGCTTTAATCACAGCTCTTATCAGCCACAAACTTATAACGATCAGGATGAGACAAGGGAGAAGTTTTAGAAAGATTGCGAAATACCAGAAATTTACTTTCAGAAGCGTTTGGTCCTGGTTTGCGTCGGTAATGTTCTTGGCCGGGGCTACTAAGTCGCTCAGTTGGACGTGGTATAGGGTGTAGTCTATGCCGTCTTCTGTGATGACGATGCTTTTTATTTGTAGGGTTGGATATTGGGGCAGGCAGAGGAATACAGGCAGAATGAAGCAGGCTATGATTGCGCGGGTGCAGCGCTTGTGTGAGCAGAGGATGTGGTTCTTCTCCATGTGTCTGAAAAAGAAAAAATAAACTAAAAAATAATATTAAATAATTTTCGTTAGTTTAGAGTAATTAAATATTTTTGAAATGAAACTTCTCTACGCGTGCTGGGATGAAAAATTCAAGGCCGTGACACACGAGCTAGTGGTAATGAAAAGTGGTAACGGCTTAGAAATACGTAGTGACGCGACGTACATTTGTGAGCAGTCCATGTGTTTATCAAAAATATTTTGATATTTTAATACAAATTTTGTGAAAGTGAATAAAATTATTACGTGTAAAAAACTATTTGTTACACGTAAAAAACTATATGTTACATACTAAAAACTTTTTTTTATTTGTAAAATCTAATTGTTACACGTAAAATTATTTGCTACTCGTAAAAAACTATTTTTTAAGCGTAAAAAAATATATTTTTTTAATTTATCGCTTAACATTTAATAATAATAATAATAATAATAATGACTTTATTGTTCTAAGTAAACAAAAATACAATTTTTAACGATATTAATTATTAAAAGTAGAACAACGGCGAAGTTCAGCTCTTACCGAACAGCGTCCGGTGAGCTGCTCTTCCACTTAACCCAACCAGATATTAAAAACAAGAATATATTCAATATATGTAGTAGTATTACACTGCACAACCCAACATGATGAACCTAACAAGCTGACATGGTGAAACAAAAAAAACATATTACAAAAATCCAAATAGCATCCCAATGGTTATCCAAACGTGCGGCCTCCTCACCTCTCAGGTACATTGAATCTGATATAGTTTATTCCAGCATTTTAATTTAAATTTTGATATACTTAATAATTTTGTATCATCTGGGACACTGTTGTATAATTTACAAATTTGATAAGTAAAGCCACGTTTAAATAGTTCTGTTTTAAACTGAGGATGTGTGAGCCGACCTCTACACCTTATATTTATATTGTGAACATCAGTCCGGAAAGTTAATTTCTCATACAAGTACGGAGGACATTTAAAAATTAGAAGTTTATGAAAAAAACACAGTGACTGAAGAGTACGTCTGTTTTCCATATTTAGCCACGATGTTTCTTTTAATTTATGCGAAATTCTTTGGAATTTTCGAATGCCGTAGATGAGGCGTAAGCATTAGTTCTGGATTTTCTGGATTTTTCTTTTAGAATTGGTTGTTAAAAAGGGACCATATACGCAACTAGCGTAATTAAAATTTGACAGTACGAGTGCCTCACACAACATAGATTTAACAGCAATAGTTAAAAGATCCCTAACCCCATATATAACTTTTATAGCAGCATACGATCACTGAATCAAAACAGTAATGTGTCTTTCAAAACGTAGTTGAGAATCCATTATTACACCTAAATTTTTTGCTTCGTAACTTACTGGTATTACATTTTTATTAATAGATATTTTCATGTATTCTTTTAAAAGGGACAATTTGTTTTTAGGGCCAAAAAAGATAATATTTGATTTATTTGGATTTATAATAAGACCGTGTCCATTTGCCCTGTTTGTAAATTCTTCGAGTTCTTTATTAACCAATGCAGAGGCAACGTCTAATTTTTCAAATGGGAAACTATAATATAATTGTGTATCATCAGCATAACAGTGTACTTTACAATATTGACAACTAGTTATAAGATTTGCTGAATATATATTAAAAAGAAGTGGGCCCAATATCGAACCCTGAGGAACACCGAATTTTAGACTTAAGACATTTGACTTAAGATTGTTATCCAGCACAACTTGCCGAGTACGATTTTTTAAAAAGTTTTCAATGAGATCATTAGCTTTATCTGACATACCAATGTACTTAAGGATAGACAATAATAAATCATGATTTATTGTGTCGAATGCCCTACTCAAATCTAATAATATTAAAACTGTACAATTACCAATATCAGTCTGTTTTACAATATCATCCACTACACTGAGGAGCGCTGTTGTACAGCTATAATTTTTCCTAAAGCCTGATTGAAATTTTGGAAGCAGGGTTTTCCGGTCCAAATATTCCTTAAGCTGTAACTCCATTGCGCGTTCTAGAATTTTTGAGAGAGTAGGCAGTATACTTATTGCTCTAAGATCTTTATATTCAGTAGGACTAGGTTTCTTTGGTAATACATGCACAAGAGCGCCCCTCCACGTGGTGGGAAATACACTGTTTATGAGACAAAAGTTTATTATATGGGTAATATATGGAATGACATGTGGGCAGCACAGTCTTATTAATTTTATATTTAAGTCATCAGAGCCAACTGCATTAGTTTTAATCTTAATAAATGTGTTGAAAATAAACAATTCGTCAACTTCTTTAAAACAAAATTTGTTAACTAAAATTTCTTCTCCAAATTCTTCAAATCACTCTTTAAAACTACACTTTGTCAAACATATTCTTCATATCCTTTAAATCAAATTAATTGTTACACGTAAGAACTTTACTTATTGTTACCTCTAAGATCCGACCGAATCTGGATTTTTAGTCTCGGCCGAGACCGAGACCGACACCGAGACCGAGACCGACACCGAGACCGAGACCGAGACACGATGCAATATTTATTTAATAGTTTATTATATGAAAAAACATCTGATAATAATGCAATAAAAACGTTATATTCATGCAGAAACGGTTTTATGGGATTTAATACTATAAAATTACTAATACTAATAAAATTATTTTTATATGTTATAGGCTAAAAAAGTAATTTTTCAGCATCGTACCCTTTCAAATTATGCAGTGTTTCATCATATTCTTTCTAAATAGGAGTTTGCTAGAGACGCTTGTTTGTGGTGCAAACTAGAAATGTATAAGCTGTTGGTTTTAGAACTCTGTATGGAGGTGAATAATTACACACAAAAATTTTACTTATTCTTATTAGTATACGAGTGATTCATATAAAAGTACAATTCTATTAAATTTATAAAACTTCATTAATAAGACACTAACATCTAACATTTCGTTCATTGTTTAAATAATAATCAGATCTTATTATATGGATCAGATATAATCCATTCTTCTTTTACGACTTTGGATAAAATTTTGTATGGCACTCGCGTTATAACATACTCGCGTGTTATAACATATACATAAGTCACTTGAGAAAATTAGCCCTCTCGGCTTGTTTCTCTTTATTTCCTATCGTGACTAATTGTTAACCCATAAATAACTATTTTTGTTTGGGAAAAAAATCTAAAACTACATTTTTATGTTTTTTTTTGAATTTTCTCTAAAACGGTATAGATATTTGGAAAAGTATAAACGGGATTAATCATTTTAGAACAAGCAAAAATTTTTATGAAGAATGCATTTTTCTCAAAATGTCAATAAAAACAAGTTTTTCTTCTTGTAAATACAATCCAGGGACATACTGTGTCAAATTTGCAATAGGTATATTGAAATTCGTATTTTTGTTATTTAATAAAATTTAATATTTAGTAAAATTTTATGTTTATATAATTTTAACACGAATATTCTAAATATTTACCATGCATAAAATATTTTTAATTATCTACCAAAAAACATTTTCAATTTAGTAGACGTATTTGCATGCTTTTTGTATTCATCTACCTAATAATGTTTTGCTGGCACAGCAAACTTATTATTTTAATGAACATATAAAGCAAGGTTTAAGCTTCTAATTAAGCTATTTAAATGTTATCTTACAGTTTGCATCAAAAATTATTTAAATATTTAATACTTATAATTATTATAAATAATAAAAGTCAATATTTAGATGAAAATTCGTGTCTGGGTATCTCCTACAAATATCCTACATGTACGGGGCGCCACCTACATAATTTTAACCCTAGATTATGTATACTTACGTGGATAAATCAACGCCATAAGTTTAGTATTAAAAAACATGTCCCAACATCACGACATGCCATTTTCAAACCTTCTTTATTGCACTTATGAAAAGTTCAGTAGGTTTGCCTTTTCTGAGGACCTTACTTTGTGCCCATGCGCATTAAAAGTTGCACGTATTTCCAAAATAATCACAATTTTATACTATTTAGAAAGTACAAATTATACATTGTTATGGAAACCAACTTTTCATTGTCGTCATATTGCCATAATCTTATTTCCAGTTTTTTATTTTAAAAATTGTATTAATTACTCATTTATCGACCACTTTTATATAGCCAAGGATGCAAGGGTGTTCATTAAGAAGTTAATTTTAAGTTTGTGCAATTATATTTCTATTTTTTTTATTGAACTTTCTAAATACTCGTAAAAATGACAAGAAAGTGTTTGGTGTGTGGAAGTTCTGATATAAAGGTCCCCGAATTATCTTTTCTTGGACAAGTAAAGTATTCAGTTGTTCCTTTATTTTTATTAAACCACATGGCATACTTTCTGGTTAGATTTCCTAAGTATATTGATATTCGTACGGAGTGGCTAAATGTATTTTTTAGATAATTTAATTTTCGTGACAGTAAACACATTTAATTAGCTCCTCGTAGCCATCTTAGGTTTGCAGACGATATTGTATCGATATTGCTGAGCACCGACATTCAAGAACTGAACACCATGCTAAAGGAGCTAAATGACCAATCCCAGAAAACTGGCCTTAAAATAAACTTGAAAAAGACCAAGATAATGAGCAACAATATCCATAACATTCCCATAGACAACGTTATTATTGAAAACGTAGACCATTATATATATTTAGGTCATAAAATCAAGCTGGGTAAAGAGAACCAAAATACGGAGATACGCAGGATCCATTTGGCATGGGTAGCATTTGGAAATATGAGCGATATTTTCAAGGATAAATAGGTGCAAAACAGCTGCATTCTGCCTGTGCTTACGTATGGCTTAGAGACTATGGCAATTACCCGAAAAACAGCAGAACAACTACGAGTAGCACAAAGGGCCATGGAAAGAATCATGTTGGGAGTCACCATTAGGGAAAAAATACGAAACGCCCACATACGTCAAAAAACAAAATTAATAGATGTTGTTAAAAGAGTGGCATGTCTGAAGTGGCAACGGATAGGGCATGTGCCAAGACAGGATCCAGACCGATGGCCCCAAAAAGTCATCCTATGGAGACCTAGGGGAACAACAAGAAATGTGGGCCGACCAAAAAAGAGATGAGTCGATGACGTCAGATAAACCTAGAAGAGGCCTATATCCAACACTGGATGGAACCAGGCTGAGAAAAAAGAAGAAAGATGAAGAAACATTCAATTTATTGTTCAAATATATGCATTTTAAAATTTTTAATTTTTAAATTAATGTTCAAATTTGGCGCGTGGACGATAGGTCCTCGACAAGGATAGATAGAGTAGAAGCACTGCGTGTGCAACAAAAAAAGAAGATAAATATATCGTTGATATGTTTGCGGCAGTTTCCATAGTGATTTACTTATCCACGTAAGTGTATATTATGATCTAGGATTTTAACTGTATTGAAAAGTAATAACTTTTCGTCTGTATCCGTAGAAAACTACTGAGTAAAAAAATAATCTCTTAGTAAAAAAAAATGCTAAAAACAACCGCTCTCAAGGTACCGTATGATCGAAAAAAAACGGCGCCAGCGACGGCTATGAAATGAAGATCGCAGTCATTTTATATGGGAAATGTCATCGATCGTCATTTCCAGCCAACTGGACGCCATTTTCTTTCGATCATACGGTATTTAGAATACAATACAAATCAATACATGTCATCAATGACAATAAATAAACATGTTGACTAGATAGTTCACTAAAAATCTACTAGTTTTCTTATAGTATGCTAAGATTAAACTTACCCAATAGCTAGATATCTCCAAATTGCCAACGCCAAAGTCAAACATATGGAGGTAGTGTGCATTATCTGAGAGAAATGGTTATGTATCATAATAAAAACGGCTCCATAAAACGGAAATTCCTTGTTCTCTTCAGTTAGCACATTGTAGTAGTACACAAACGGGATGTACTCCATCATGAGAAGCATGTCTGCCCATGCCAGAGCAGTTAAAATCCTGTTAATCGGAGCAGACGCCATATCTTTCCTTGTCAACACTATGATATTGAAGGAGTTTGTGATAATTCCAAACAGACACACTGCAATAGCGCAATGACAGTGATACACTTTAGCGTACACTGTGGCCCACGATTGGAGAGTACTTCCACAAAACCACGATTCACTCACACTGTCACTACTGTCATTTTTCGGTGATAATGACGACATCGTGGTGGAAATTTCATAATCAGACGACGTGATGCTGGAGGACATGTTGATGGAGTTGTCAACAAAGTACAGAACTTTGTTGATGAGATCTTCTGTGATGTTATGAGCTGTTTGCTTTGACAAGATTTGTTTTATGATTAAAATGGTTGATGAAGAGGTGTTGTGGGAATGGTTGTCTTTGGGACTATTCATGGGCATCATACATTGGTTTTGTGTGGAGTTTTTATTCTGCTATTTGATAGTTGTCATTTTATCTGAAACAAAAACAAGAAGATTATACAGGGTCCGGCAAAAGTGCGTTGAGTAGAATAAAAAAAATGAGAATTTTGTTTAAATGCAAACCTATACGTATGTACGGGGATGTGTTTCAGGAAAAAAATTTAACGCCTCTAGGGTGGCTCAAAAAAGGGTGAGTGGATCGGGATGTTTTTTTTTAAATGAAACACCCTGTATATTATTGCATTTTTGGCTTTCTTTGAGATCAATTTACATACTCCTAAAATATGAGTAAATATATTTCGATAATTTCAGAAATATTAAAAAATAAATAAAAAATATTTTTTTTCGGCCTTTTTTAAAAAAATTATTAAAAATACAAGAACTGTCTTGAAATCAAAATTATATTAGACATTTACTTTCGATGGTCTGTACTTACTTTGCTATAAATATGGTAATCGTATAAATCATACAGGATGTTCAAAATTCAGCGCCAAACTTTCTAAAATATAAAATAATTTTAAAAACACCCTGTATATTATTTTTTATTAAATTGAGAGTTAAAAAATGAACATTTTCTGTATTTAAAGTATTTCAATAGTTTTAATGATTTCGCAGATGCAAACAGTGATATTTCATATGGCCCTTTCAACGGTAAAATACGAGAGAAAAATCATTGGGTGGCTTGGATAAAAATTTACTATGGAAAATGCTACATGAAATATAAAACCGCGAATATCTGCGAAACCGTTAAAAAAGTGGACTCCAGAAAAATGAACAAAATAGATCTACCGTATGATCGAAAAAAAACGGCGTCCAGTTGGCTTGGACATTACGAACGATGAAATTTTCCATATAATTTAACATATAAAATGACAGCGATCTTCATTCCCTAGTCACAAATTACCTATAACAGATGCGAAAGAAAGCGACTGCATCGGAAACCGCTCGGCAAACCCCACACGCCTATTGAGTGGTGTAAATACACCAGTCGTTTAGTCCGGAAACCTATGCTGTGTCGTATTCGCTTGCTGGAATGACATAGTGCGTGGTTATATGTTTCTTTTTAAAAACGGGTGTAGGATTTTTGTTGAACTTTTTGAACTGTTATTTCTAAGTTTTGGTAATTTGTATATCTTATTTAAAATGGAATACAAATGTGTTTATTTATAAGGAAAAAAAAGATATTTATAGTATAAAAATTAATTTATTTAACAAAATTTAATTAAAAATGTGACAAAATAGTTACCTTTCTATTGGTTCTATCGGACTTTTTTCGACTATATAAATCTTTATTTGTAAACTTTAATACATCAAATATTTTCAATCTAATAAATCATTTAATGATGTAAATAAGAGGAAATTTCTCACATGGGTGGTCAAATTTTATAGTTTTCATTATATCAAACAGCCTCTGAGAAATGTTTTCAACTCAAAATGCCTTTAATTATGTTTGACTACATCATTAAAAAGGGTCTTCAAATACATCAATGTGATATTTGTCTAAAATTTGCAAAAGAATCCGAATCTCTGGATAACTCGAAATTATTTACCCATTTAAAAGCCTTTGATCATGAAAGTGGAAAAATTTGTTCATTTTATTTACAGGCTGGAAAAATTATTTATATTAAATTTTGATGAGTTTTGCACTGAAGAAAACATTCAGAGGCTGTTTGATATAATGAAAACTATAGAATTTGACCACCCATGTGAGAAATTTCCTCTTATTTACATCATTAAATTATTTATTAGATTGAAAATATTTTATGCATTAAAGTTTACAAAAAATAAAGATTTATATAGTCGAAAAAAGTCGATAGAACCAATAGAAAAGTAACTATTTTGTCACATCTTTAATTAAATTTTGTTAAATAAATTAATTTTTTATACTATAAATATCTTTTTTTTTCCTAATCTCCTACGAACTAATATAATATGACGAGCAATCTATTAAATTACTGTGAGATTATATGCCTCGATAACATATTGGTGCAGATTATTTTCACCCAAACAAATAATAATCCAAACTATACATTGATGCGGATTGTCTATGAACTCTTTCTGAGGGTCACAGAAACCTGAACGCGTAATTCGGTGTTCTTTCGCATCTGTGCCCTAGTCATCAATAACGCTGTTTTTTTTATCATATTGTGTTAGGTCGCGGTTAGCAATCCAAGCCAAAATTATAGAATTTGTGTCTCTAAAAATGATTTGACGATAAGTATTTAAACTAAGTACTTAGGTACTAGATTCCAAATACTATGGTTTAGTATATTAAGTTCTTTATTAAACTATCTAGAGATGCAATCAAAAAATTGTACTGAACTATTTAAAGGAAATAAAATGGATTTCTTTTGCATAAATTTTTATTACAATGAAGAACATAACTTGCATAATAAATACAAAAATTTGATAATTTTGCACGATACATACATCATATATTATGTATGGTTATGTATACGCCTCGGTATACCCACAATAGTGTGCACCAACAAAAATAAATATTTTTTTCTTTTTAGTTACCGTGAAAATATCGTTCAGGATTAGTAATGTCAAATTACCGGTAATTTATAAATTGGTAATATTACCGGTAATTTACGATAACATTGGTAATTTATAAAATACACAGCATTTTAAATAATATCATTTTTTATTTCAAAACTGTAAAAACATTACAAAAAAACTAGTCAGAGTAACCTATGTTATAGTACGTAATAAAGTGAATAATGGTAAATCATCCTCAATCTTGTTATCTGGTTCTTCTATCTCTTTCGTTAGTTGAGTCAAGTCTATTACTTGGAAAACGATAGCTTCTTCTTCTTCTTCCGTTTCTTTCTGAGCAGCTTCTACCATCCTTGGATGTTCTTCTCCATTTAGTAAATTATAATTATGAGCAATATAAGTAAGTTTCTTGGCCAATGGACAAACCAATGAGTACTAAAAGTTCTTTCGGTTGCGGCTGTTGACGATATTAAATTTAAAATGTCTACAGTCAACATACTTATAATAGAACTGAGCAAATGAAGAATAGTAGAACGGAAAAAATCAATATTTCCAATGTTACTATCTTGCGGTAATATTACGTAATCTTACCAAAATTACCGGTAGTATTACCGCGGTAATATTACCCTTTACATCACTATTCAGGGTGATGAAAGAAAATTCTAGTAAAGTTTGAGCACTTAATATTAATATTAAGAGGTATCTTCGTAAGTTTCTATTTCCCCATTATTTGTTTTCCCATTATTTTCCCCATTATTTTTTTCCATTAATATTTACACGAGGAAACAATCTTTTTGATTTTAAAATTATACTGCGTTCTAAGAAATCAGCGTTTTTCAAAAATCAATACACATTCTTGTAGAAAATTGAACGGTCTTCAAAAAAGGTCTAATATGAATTTTCATTTAATCGACTCGTTTGCAAGTTATTGAAGGTTAAAGTTCAACTTCAAATCGTCTATGATAACTCCCACAATTTTTATATTTTTTTCACGAAATAATGGTTCAAAAATATAAAATTATATTTTAAAATAATTAATAATAAAATATAAACAAATATGTTATACCGGGTGCGCCTCAAAAGTGGCTCGTTCCTATAACTTTTTTATTTTTTCAGATGAAAAAACGAGATTTGGAATGTAAGTATATGACATAAATTAGAATTGATTGATGTATTCAATTGTTTTTGGTCACTTCCTGTTTCACCGGAAATGACTATAACTTTTGCTTTTTAAATGACACCCTCGGTATATTTTTACTTTATTCGATAGAAAATGACATACCAAATATCAACTTTTGACATTTTCGCTTTAAAAAAAATTCTATTTTAAATTTCAATCTAGAGTGTCATGGCTATGTTAAAAACACTAATTTTTAATCAAGGAGTCTTGGAAAAATCGATCGTCTAATGTTTTTAGTGTCTTGTCCTGGCCAGTTAAAAAATGCCCAAATCGTATTTTTAATCATATCTCAATTTTTTCAAATGGAATGAGGGTGGTTCATTAGCATATTTGGAAAAAGCATTTTTTTCGAATAATTTAGTACATAATTTCAAATAAACAATATGCGAAAATGTCAAAGTTGACATGTGACATATCATTCTATTCAGAATGTTATTTTCTATCGAATAAAGTAAAAAAAATCCAAGGATGCCATTTAAAAATCAAAAGTTGTACTCATTTCCGGTGAAACAGGAAGTGACCGAAAACAATTGAATACCTCAATCAATCCTAACTTATGTCATATACTAACTAGCATACTAAATCTCGCTTTTTTAACTGAAAAAATAAAAAAAGTTATACGTGGGCCATTTTTGAGACGCACCCAGTATATGAAAGTTGTCGTATACGATTTCAGGTTGAACTTTAACCTTCAATAACTTTCAAACGAGAAGATTAAATGAAAATTCATATCAGACCTTTTTTGAAGACCGTTCAATTTCCTACAAGAATATTTATTGATTGACAAAAGATTGACAAAACGCTGATTTGTTAAAACGCAATAAAATTCCAAAAGAAAACTGTTGCGCCGTGTTATTTAAATGGGAAATAGAAAATCATGACCTCTTAATATTAATGTTAAATGTCCAAACTTTACCAGAATTTTTTTTTTCATTATCCTGAACGCTATTTTCAAAGTAACTAAAAAAGAAAAAAATGTTTATTTTTTTTGGTGTACTCTAAATACCCAGTCAAAATACAAATAGCAATTGATCGCTATCTAAAACTGGATGTGTAGGTAGTCTATTTAAGCGAATTTTTGGATTTTGAAAATGCCAACGAAATTTCCAGAGAACACAATCAAATGTCCGTATTAATAGGAATCGATGAAACTATGCTCTGTGTGGTTTTTGACGAGTTGTATTTGTTCCAGCGCGCCACGTTATTTCGGAAAATCATTTTAATTACTACTAACTTTTCCAGTACTATATCAACCAGTACTAATCACCTAATAACGAGCCAAATTAAAACTTATCCATCATGTATTTTTTAAATTTTGCGATAACGTGGGTATTATTGCATGGATACGATAGACAG